TGTTGCTATTGGGACCACATATCTCTTTGTCTCTCTATCAAACTTAATGAAAAGGCGAAAGAGATTAAACAGTGGTTGATCCTGATGATGGATGAAATGGGAGGAGCTCAACTTTCATAAGGAGAGTAAGTCTGACCATCTCCGCTTGCTGTAAGGCGCTTCCCTCAGCTGCCCATGGGGGATTAGGAATTTAGGATTTTGGAAAGAGGAGAGAGCTTGATGATTGAGGATGAGGGAGTCTAGGTTTTTTCTCTCTTAGAGAGATCCCTCAATGAAAATGTAGCTTCTTCCCAATCAGTCCTCTCAACCCATTTTAGGACTAGTTAGGTATTAAATAGGTTACATGGATTAGTCGGGATCAACCAAAACTAACGCATTAATAAGCAGGTTAGTTTGGATCGACTCGTTCATGATCCAATCCATATAATTTGACCCCATACCATTATAAACAGATCAGGTCGGGTTGATGGGTCAGGTTTAATTTGTCAGAAACTTAAATCTAAAAGACCTTATTTATTTACTATATAGACTGGGGTCACAAATAAGAGGGGCATCACACCAATACAATCTTACGCCGCATTGTCAATTATAAACAATACTACATCACTTTCCTATGGTCGTAGGCAGGAGAAGCTATGTACGAAGCAACGAGGATTATTGCTTGTGAAGTGCTGCACAATTATCATCTTTAAATAGTACGAATCCTATCAAAACCGTTAACATGCCAGTGGGGAGTTCTCTCCCCACATTGGTCAAGGGAAATTACCATACTGGGTATGGGGATTACCACACTACACCATGCTTTTCATCGGAACAGTAGAGAACTATCCGCTTGCCAACACTATCCGCTTGCATGTTGGCGGTTCTAATAAAATGCACACTTCATGTTACTCAAAAAAGGGGGAAACATTCTTGCAAATGCCTTCCATAGAAAATGATACCAGAAAGAAAAACATAGCAACACCAATTCGAACAATATACAATGTCAGTGTAATTAAAATAAAGCATCAGTGTAGTTATAAATATTGTATTCATAGTGTAATTATAAATATTGTATCTGTTCAATTAGACTATTAGTGCAATCATCAACTTTAATATGCGCGTTGGAACACTAATTACAATATATTCCTACACGGTTTACACAGGGCCCTCTATATGATCTTTTACAAAAAGGGATGCGCTTGATTGTATATCAAAACATGACTAGACCCTTCTTCTTTTTAACTGAAAGCGGCTCAATCTTGAGGGTGGGTCATTTTAGCCATCATATTTTCACACCAAAATCAGATAACCTTATTTACGTATGCACAGGGGAGGACATATTTTCTAGCACAACATTCTCCTATCTTTATGCAGGTATACCTTCATCGTTCAAAGAATGAGCTATAACACCATCTCCTAATTACAAGTACAGCTGAAACATGCCTCCAGACGCTCCAATTTTGTTGCGTTTTCCAAAATCAAGCTGCAAGTACAAGAACTTTGATAGTGCCTTGACTGTTGGCTGTTAACATTGTGGGGCTATCACTCTTCCAACAGACAGCACTGATAAAATATGATCCAGATTCATCATCTTGATCATCCATATCTGAGGAACTAAATCTATGCCAAGCTGCAGGTTTAGATATAGCCTGCAAGTAATTTTGTGTTAAAAAAATGTCAAATGAAGAATTATTGTATAAGGTGTCCTGAAAGAGAATGCACCTGACTAGAATATTGTGACTAATTTTAATATAGAAGAATGTGATGACTTACTTTGTGGTACACGAAAACTTCATTCGTCTCACTCCCACAAGCTATATACTCACTGTTCACCGTAAGGCCAACAAAGTTCTTCTCATTTGTGTGCCCTTTGAAGGTCCTCACCTGAGCAATATATTCAGAACGTATAGAGAAAGAAAGGATTAGATGGCTACTGAGTATAGTATAAATTCTAAAGAACAGAACCGAAGAGGCATATAGCAATTATCCATCATCAGGCTGTCACATTAGGCTCCACGGTATATATTTGTTTTCACTCAATTATAGAACTTTTGATTTGTAGGCAATGGTTAATGTAACACAATTTTCCAAAAGTTATAAGCATGGTTGTATGTACCTGGCAGTTATCCTTTACATCCCACAAGCGCAATGTGCTGTCTGTTGATGCAGATGCAAGCTCATTGTTAGATAAGAATTTTACATAGGAAACTGCTTTTCTGTGGCCCCTGAAAACATGGAGTGGTTGACTTGTGTTTCTCAAATCGAAGTAGTGAATGTGGTGATCAGCAGAACCAACCTGGAAATGGATATGTAATGTAACGCTCTCCACGAAATTACCCCAGGACAAGAGATAAAATGGGATATGGGAAGAAACATACCGCTACATGAATACTAGATCCAGGATTATATTTCACACAACAGATGTTTGCTTTCATGTCAATGTTCATAACACTTGCTTCTTG